AGCTAATGATTATCTAAAAAAATAGTTAAATATTTAAGGATTGAAGTGGATATTAAACATAGGATGATTTCGATAGAATTGTGAGACGATGCTAGTTTTTGTTGCATGAGGATGACGTCATGCGTAACTGCCAATGAAATTCGTCATTCGTCACAAGTTGGGAGAGGGGGTGAGGGATAGTTTTAATTCTATTTTCAGAATTGTGGGTCAAAGGTCATCTGAAAAATTTATTTTATAAATTGACCAATGTAATTTGCAGTAAAAATTTACAATCAAAATGTACACTATTTTTTAGCATTTACAAAAATTAACAGAAATATATGGCAAAAAGTGACAGAAATATTATTGTTTACATGCAACTTGCTATTCACGCGCTCATAAACTTCAAATGTTTATAAAACCGTAACCAGTGGCTCAATTTTCCTCAAATAAAGTTGTTTATGATACTGAGAATAAGTAGTTTTTTGTGCTATTTTTTTTTTTTTTTAATATGCAACTTTGTATTTATCATGTGGTAGCTAGCTATGTGTGTGTGGGACACGGTCCAGTAGGTTTGCCTACAAATAGAAAAAGTAAGAATACAAATTGCATTTACTAAGGATTCACTACTTAAATAAATATTAATAAACACTTAAATAGGTCTGAATCCTGATAGTTTCATAGGGCCTACCCTAGGCCCGACCTTGTTGTAGCCTGCTGCCAGCCAGGGCCGCTATTTCCGGTTAACCTCACGTCCCTCTAGCCAGCCCAGACTTTACAGTAGACTAGAATTATTAACAGAAATTATATTAAATTGAAAATTGGCAAATTGCCAAATAGATTATAGATTAAAACATTGTTTTTTAAATTTATACACAAGTTCATTAGCCTATCATCATATATATATTTATTCTTGTGATTCACCTAAAACAGCTCCTCTGTGAAATTTACTACAAAATTAATTAGTTTCATATGTAAAACCTTAAAAATCCATTTCTACAGCCTACGCCTAGGCTAAGCAATCATACAGCGAAATTGACAGTAGGAGAAGTGAAGGCTTCTCACACACAGTCTCAACAGAGTGTGGGAAGGAGTGAGGCAATGCACCGGCCTGGCTTAGAATTTCTAAACGAAAACAATTGACTTACGGTCAATTTCAGATTGTACATCAGGTAGAGAAGTTGAAACTAGTGATCCATAGTGGCATTGCCTTAGTTGTTGGCATTTTTGAGCATTCAGTTTCCGACAGACATCAAAGAAAGACAAATTTGATAAATGTTTATGAAAACAACGTGAGGCCGACATTTTCTTACAAAATAGAGGGCAGTATATTCTGCTTGCTTGATTCTTGATGTTGTGAGAGTGTAGAGTGTGTCGTCAGGTCGTGCGATGTCATGCGCAATCATGCATCCATGAATCAAAACATTTTGTGGTTCAACAAAGAGGGTTCAACAGACGGTGGCAGTTTAAAGTTTTGATAAAAAGTCACCAGTGCAGATAATGTTGTAAAAGGAAGGAACTTAATTGGCAAAATGACTTCCGAAGATTCCACAGGTGCTGCATACAACATTCTGACAAATAGCATGTATTCATCGGCAGAGTTTGAACACGAATTGTTCTCTGGTAGAGACGACTTGAGTAGCGAACACTGCAGTAAGTAATGTGCTACAGTCTACAGAGCAGAGGCTAGCCTAGCAGTAGTTACTCTAGGCCTACCTAGAGAGGAGGCCCTAGTCTGACTGGCTGATGTAGGCGTACATCCTGCATTTATTGTGGTTTGTGGGTGTGTTGTTCGTCCTTGTACTGCGTAGCGTGGGCTTCGAAGTGCCGTGGGAAATGTTTACGCTTATTCTATTCATTCTTTATTCAGTCAAAATTTAAATGAAAAATACATATGATAGGCCTAGCCTACTAGAGTCCTATTTTAAAGCCCCATTCCCGGCAAAATTTCACTAAAACTGACTTTTTTTAGAAAATATGCATTTGCATTACTCCAATTATTATAAATCATTGAAAAATATTGGCATGAATTTTAGTTTTATGCAAAAGAATAAAAAAAATGAGAAATACAGACTATTTCTCATAAAATATTACCATTTTCTCGACGAATTCATCGTTACTAGGCAAATTCAGAGGTTGTAGATCGCATCCACGGGGAATACTCTCGCTTTTATGTATACTTTATGCAGTCAATAAAGTGCGCCCTCTCTAATGAGATTAGTGTTTGTACTTCGCATCTCACACAATGCGGTCGTTCGGTTAGGCTGAGATATGTTTGATTAAGTGTCAAAATCTCAGTCAGAATCAGTTTTTTAACAAATTTGAAATAATTCCTATGAAATAT